GCAATGACCGTGGCTATGCATCAGATAACACTCTAGGCAAATCATGAGACTAAACCATTCATGGCAATCAAGACTGTCAACTGAACAGAGAACAGCCAATCCCAACTTCAGTCAATAGGACTTGAGAAACCTTATCAACACTTGTAATGGGGCAAGGCACTGAAGCACCCAATTTTCAGCTCCGCCACTGAAAGTGAGACTGGTCAGGGACTTTCTCACTGTCTGCGGCTCTTGCAAGAGGTGAGAACAACAGCCAGAGGCACTGAGTTATAGCAACACTCTTGATTGCTTTCTGATATCGCCTTGCTAATTCACCACTAGCTTTTGCTCAGAAGAAAACCCGTGAAGCAGTTTTCAGACCAAAGAGAGCTGACAAGGAGAACTGAGTATAATGGGGGCAGATAAACTATTCCTTCTTCCCAACAACACTCAGAAGGAATAACTGCAGTTATATTGTATTTGGATAACTGGCAGGAAAGAAAGTAATTGCAGTGTTATGGGCTGTGTGTGTGTGAGAGAGAGAGAGGTAAATGACCTCCTCAGGTATCTTCTAGTTGTAAGTTTGTGGTCTGAAGAAGAGAAGTGCAAAAATGGTCAAACCAGCGTCTTCTGTTGAACAGATAGCCCAAACCAGCCTGATAAGTATCTCCTTTGTTATGTAAGCCAGAGCCAATATGCTGCCATTGAAACTGAATAGCTGGAGATACTTCTGGAAGGTAAAAGCTAGTATGGCAAAAGAGATTGTGTCATCCAGGTGTATTTGGGTGAGGAACAGAAGAATGGACAGGGAAGTTTGGAGTCACATGGAGAGTCTCAGTTTTAGGGCCCATGCAAATTTACCTTTTGCCCCACTCTTTCTAGGCAAAGGTCTGCACTTTCCTGGTCCTTGTCCAAGCACTTTTTTTCTTTCTTGCTCCACTGCTTTGCCCAGGAAAACCCAATCTTTACCACTGAATTGGAGGAAATAGCAGTTCAGGTTTTCTGGGGGGTTGTTTCTTGTGGTAGCCAAAAAAGAAAAAAAAGGGAGGGGACGGTAGGACACAGACCTTGAAAACCCAGACCTGTGCCTAGAAATGTGGAACAAAGTAAGTGTAGGTGAGCCTTGTGACAGTATTTTGGGAGTGTGGGAATGTTGTGGATAGTAGGAATGTTGTGGATATGTTGTTTATATCTTATCCTTCCTCACTCACACTAGTGAGCTAGTAGCAAAGCAGATTCCCTTGCACATTGCTGACAGCAAGTTGTTGGATTCATTAGAATCATATAAGTTGAGCAATCCAGTCTGGCTTGTCCATAATGGATTGTTCCTGATAAATTCCCCTTTATTCCCCTCTTAAAAATAACAACAACAACACGACCGTCTTCTTTTAAAAGTAATGGTAAAGTTTACTTACATTCAGTTCACAGTATTGTCCTGGAGGCAGGCTTTATCTGGTAGTTACAGTTACATTTGTAGAGAAAATAAGTTCTAGCTAGGCCTCAGACTTTCTACCTTATGGTTTTCATATTTTGCATGTTCAGACCCAGAAACCTCCCCCCTAAATAAATTCACATTTGACTCAAATTTTGGTTTGGTTTTTGGCAGAATTTAGGCCACAACTTTACTGATTACAGCAAGTGACTGGTTGCATAGGCTCTGGTTCAACTAGCTCCCTGCCATGCAGGTAGCGCTGACCCAGGGTTCCAGCATAGGTCAGCCTAGGGTGAACACCTGGATAAGCAGAAAGCAGGGAACAGGCTAACTCTGCCACCCAAATGTCCCCCTGGACTCAGGCACGGGCACAACCCCCTCACAGGGGTTGACCAAACCATCGAGTCCCTGGATTCCTTTAATGGAATACCCTTCACTTATGGATGGCGAGAGTGTTCTCCCATCCTATCATCTGAACCAGAGCCTATCCGCAACTTTACAAGTTGTGACGATTTGCTAAGCGGCAGGTGGAACCCAAATGGCAACAGCCAATCAGGCAAGTGGGGAAAATTCCTGCCATGACCCTGTCCCAACGACAGATGACACATGACAGCATAGAAAGGTCAAGCGCAACAAGCCCTAAAAGTTGGGAGAAGTGGGCAGGTGTTCTGAATGCACGTGCTGAAAGAGGAAGCTCTGGGTCACGTGCATGGGCATAAATAGGTCCCTCAAACCATTTAGACTGCGTCTCATTGGCCAGATTGTACCCAGCTTAGAGGGACCTACCAATCGGGTGTTGTGGCTAACCAATTGTACCCACCCACAGCAAAGGGTGTCGGTTGTCCAGGTCTCACCACAATACGTGCCCTCTTTAAGGGAGGACCCAGTCTGTAAGGATGAGCCATGTGCTGCTGGCTAAGAACCAGCAGAGGAATCCAAAAGGAAAAATGGAAAAAGGTGAAAAGAGGAAGATGGCTGCGTGACTAGCCTTTTTATAGGGTCTGCTAGGGTCATCCCCATCTACCTGATCACACACAGGGGGAGTATGCTCCAGGGCAGGTATGACAGGAAGTCCTCTCTGTCTGGAGCAACATTCCCCTGTGTGTCCACTCTGGGGAACAGGAAATGCTGTATTTGACTGCTTCAATGATGATACATCCCACAGTGAGCTGGACATATTCCATAGAAATATGATCGGGAGGAAGTGAACATTGGGACACCAGCTGGAGTTAAGGCTATGTCTTCACCTATGACTAGCCAGTGTGTTTATATATGTTTCCAAATCGTTCCAAAGGAAGCATGACCAAGGTATAGTCTGCATGCCTTTTCTCGTTGCTCCAAGAATTTGGGTGCACATATCAATTTATAGAGTTCCTTTGTAGATACCGTAAAAACGCTCCAACTCACATTCCTCTTTTTCCCAAGAAGGTCAAATCTTAAAGCGTGGGTAGGCAAACTAAGACCTGGGCGCCGGATCTGGCCCAATCACCTTCTAAACCCGGCCCATGGACAGGCCGGAAAACAGCATGTTTTTACATGAGAATGTGTCCTTTTATTTAAATTCCATCTCTGGGTTATTTGTGGTGCCTGTCTGGTGTTTTTACATGAGTAGAATGTGTGCTTTTATTTAAAATGCATCTCTGGGTTATTTGTGGGGCATAGGAATTCGTTTTTCTTCTTCTTTTTCCAAAATAAAGTCCGGCCCCCACGAGATCTGAAGGACAGTAGACAGGCCCCCTGCTGAAAAAGTTTGCTGTCCCCTGGCTTAAAGCAACTGTAAGCTTCTATAACCTTGCAAGCAGTGCTTGCCTTGAGGTTGTTCCTGTTCTGACATCCGTGCCAGAGAAACGTACAATTATAAACGTCTGGCAATGTTTCCTTTTGCCCTTCAGGTGACCTGCTTCTGTAGGATGCATGGGGTTGTTAATTTTCACACACAAGCAGTTAAAACAATCCAGCATGTTAAACTGGCACCACAACAAATGCATGAATGCTGGACGTTTTGTTCTGCCGCTACAGCGGGCTAATTAAGATGTGTCACACAAAATGTACTTTGACAGTCAGAATCGCACCAGTAACAGAGCTTAGATCTACTCTCCTGCTGCCTTACATGACTTATTGCTTAGAGTGAAGTTCTCTGTTGAAAATCCAGTGCAGGCAGGAGAGATAAAATTAGACCTTCATGATTTGGACTTAATATATTTAGTGATTTCCACTTATCGGTTATTGTATCTTGATGGCTACAGGCAGGAAGTCTGTGCTTCTTAAATTAGAAGTATAGCACGACAGAAATATACTGCTCTGCTATGAGCCACCAAACAGCAACTCTAACAAAAATTTCTCCCTTTCTTTCCAACAAATGCTTGATCACAGGCGTTCCATAACTGTGGAACAGTCACTGAGAGCAATCCTTTTTCGGTTGCCATATTTGGAAGAGCAAAAAAGAGGACACTTTTGCCAACTTTTACTTTTAACTATGGATCGCTATGATGACTCTACCCGTGAAAAAGTAGACATGTCCTGAAAAAAGAGGACATATGGCAACCCTACTTCTGGAACTGATATTGGGTTGGATCTAAAGGCTTCCTTCTACTGATGGAAGGAGCCTTCCTCTGGTGGATGAGATCCCGTAAGCCAAGCATGTCCAACCGGTAGATCGTGATCTACTGGTAGATCACAGAATGTTCCTGGTAGATCGCTGGTCCCTCAGGGATCTCCTTCCCCCAAAATAAAAAAGAATTAAAAAGTTCAACCACTTTGGTTTCCTAAGAAAAGCTGAACAACTTTGCCTTCCCAAAATAAAAAAAGAATTTAAAAAGTTCAACCACTTTGGTTTCCTAAGAAAAGCTGAACAACTTTGCCTTTCCAAAAAAAGCTCAGCAACTTTTGCGTCCTAGCAAAAAAGTGGACCATCAGATTAAGGTCCACTATTTGACTGCGGATTCAGGACCCTAAACTGTGTGTTTTATATAATCGACTTTTGATTATGTTCTGTGTATATTGCAATGCTGATTCAGTTTCATTCATTCATATATTCAGTTCCATTCATTCATTTGCTTCCTAACAAAACAAAAAAATACTCAAGAACTTTGATCCATCAAACAACAATGGGTAAATCACTGCCAGTTTTTTATACTGTGAGTAGATCGCAATCCATTGGGAGTTGTACGTCCCTGTAAGCAGACTGGTTTGATATTTGTCATTGAAAGCAAAGGCAATAATCACATACCGTATTTTTCGACCCATAGGGCTCACCAGCCCATAGGGCGCACCTAGTTTTTTGGGGGGGAAATAAAGAAACATTTTTATTTTCCCCCCAGGTGCAGGGCTGGGGCGGGGGAAGCCCAAGCTTCCCCAACCCCAGCCCCCAGAACAGGCCGCTATCCGCAAGCCTAGGGAGCCCGGCGGGAAGTCGCGCCGGTCTCCCCAGGCTTGTGGATATCTGCCCGAAGCCCGGGGCACGTTGCTCAGCGCGCCCCAGGCTTCGGGGTGCAGGCAGCTCTCTGCAAGCCTTGGGAGACTGGTGCGACTTCCCGCCAGGCTCCCACGGCTTGCGGAAAGCTGCCCGAAGCCTGGGGTGCGCTCTGCTGCGCTTCCCGGGTTTCGGGCTGCAGGCTGCTTTGCGCAAGCCTTGGGAGCCCCGCGGGAACTCCTGCGGGCTCCCAAGGCTTGCGGATAGCTTCCTGAAGCCTGCATTCGCCCCATAGGACGCACACACATTTCCCCTTCATTTTGGGAGGGGAAAAACTGCGTCCTATAGGGTGAAAAATATGGTATATGTTACATACTTGGGGCCCAAATTTGAATGTAAAACAGAGGTAAAATTATTTCTCACAATTGTTCAAGGTGTGGTGGTCCATTAGGCAGAATGAAGCAGCTGCCTCAAGGAGCTAATTTTGGGTGAAATGAAAGGGCAGCAAATAGAATAAATGTAGAATTGGAAGGGGCCCCAAGGAACATCTAGTCCAACCCCCTGCAAGGCAGGAATCTCAGCTAAAGCACCCATGACAGATGACCATCCAACCTCTGCTTAAAAATCTCCAAGGAAGGAGAGTCCACAACCTCCTGAGGGAGACCATCCCACTGTTGAACAGCTCTTACTGTTAGTTCTTCCATTAATTTTTCCTGGTTTTTCGCTTCCAGGGAAAGTCATTTGTGGAATATCTTTTGCCTCCGGTGCCTTGATTTGGGGTAAAGTTTGTTCCTTTACCTCAGGCAGCAAAATACATTGATTCAAAAGAGATTTCTGCTCTAAAAGAGTGTTAGGATGAGCAGCATTAAACTTGTTACGCTGAACACAGCTACGATCTGTATCTATGCATGTAAACATGTTTGTGTGGAAGACTGTACACTTGTCAGGCTCAGCTACTGTGTAAACTGGTACACAAACTGTACACTTGCTGAACATTTCATGTGAATAACTGTGCAGGGGTACAGCTCCGCTGTCTGTGTACACAGGTACACATATTTTTTTTTTTTTTAAAAAAATATTTATTGGTTTTACAAAAGAAAATTCCAAAAAATGCAAAATTACAAAGGTTCAACAAACAAAAAACAACATTAGCCATAGCAAAAAACAAACAGAAATAACAGTATCCATAACAAAAAAAGAAAAAAGAAAAAAAGAAAAAGAAGCAAAAAAGAAACATTTTAAAAGATAATATACTTTCATTTAGCCTTCTTATCTTTACCTAGTTCTTTGACTTCCCCGCACCTCCCGCTTGTATTTCCATTTAAGAGCTCCTTTCAGCAAATCCTTACCCTCCTTTCATTATCTTAACTCAAAAAGCTTAATCTATTTATATATAAATATTTTTAGAACCTTGTCGATCAAATATTCCATACTCTTAATCACAAGGGTTTTGCCAATACCAGTTATTTTCAATCAGACTTCAGTTTAACATTCATTAATTTTATAGTATTTCTGTAGATAAACTTTAAATTTCTTCCAATCTTCTTCCACCAACTCTTCTCCCTGGTCGCGAATTCTGCCAGTCATCTCCGCCAGTTCCATATATTCAATTACCTTCATCTGCCATTCTTCCAGGGTGGGTAAATCTTGTGTCTTCCAATACTTTGCGATGAGTATTCTTGCTGCTGCTGTTGCATACATAAAAAAAGTTCTGTCCTTCTTTAACACCAATTGGCCAACAATGCCCAAGAGAAAGGCCTCTGGTTTCTTTATAAAGGTATACTTAAATACCTTTTTTAACTCATTATATATCATTTCCCAGAAAGCCTTAATCTTTGGGCACGTCCACCAAAGGTGAAAGAATGTACCATCAGTTTCTTTACATTTCCAGCATTTATTATCGGGCAAATGATAAATTTTTGCAAGCTTGACTGGGGTCATGTACCACCTGTACACCATTTTCATAATATTCTCTTTTAAAGCATTACATGCTGTGAACTTCGTACCTGTGGTCCATAACCGTTCCCAGTCAGCAAACATAATGTTGTGTCCAATATCCTGTGCCCATTTAATCATAGCCGATTTTACCGTTTCATCCTGAGTATTCCATTTTAGCAGCAAGTTATACATTCTTGAAAGTGTTTTAGTTTTGGAATCTAGCAGTTCTGTTTCCAACTTTGATTTTTCCACCTGGAAGCCAATTTTTCTCACAGGTACACATATTATTCCTTCTATTGAATAGAACAAGATTGATCTGAATGAGCACAAGTTAAACGGCTTCAGTCCAGTATACCTGAAGGAGCGTCTCCACCTCCATCGTTCTGCCTGGACACTGTGGTCCTGTGCTGAGGGCCTTCTGGCGGTTCCGTCACTGCGAGAAGCCAGGTTACAGGGAACCAGACAGAGGGCCTTCTCGGTAGTGGCACTCGCCCTGTGGAGCGCCCTCCCACCAGATGTCAAAAAGGAAAAACAACAGGCTTTTAGAAGACATCTGAAGGCAGCCCTGTTTGGGGAAGCTTTTGATGTTTAATAGGTTATTGTAATTTAATATTCTGTTGGAAGCTGCCCAGAGTGGCTGGGGAAACCCAGCCAGATGGGTGGGGTATAAATAATAAATTATTATTATTATTATCATCATGCAGAAGCCAACATAAGGCACAAACTAAAAAAAGTTAAGCTTTCTGTTTAGGAATTCTGCAGCGTGCAAAGTGGCCCTCTTGGACTAATACTTTATCTTTTTAAGAAGCAATTCCTAAGTAAGCCATTAAGCAAAATAAATAAATAAATCCTGACAATAATAACAGCCTGGCAGTGGCATAAATTAACTCGGGAGAGTATTGAATCTGTTGAAAGCTTTCAATAAAAGGTTTGGGAGACATATTGAGGATGTTCTCTGTCTGGGACATTCTTTTCAAGTGAAAGAGTCGGACTGAATCATCTATTGTTTGTGTTCACCTCTATGCTTTCATGGTGTCTCTCCTAAGCCAAAAATTGCTTCACATAATTAGAATAATAGTCAGATTTCCATTAGTGAGAATAGGTTCTTTGTGTGCTGGAAGACTCCCCAAGAGAGAATGGGTGAATGTTCATGGGATCCCATTTCTCCTGATCCTTGTACTGTTCTAAAAAGGAAATCGTGTCCTCCCTAAAAGAGGGCACATGTTGCGGTGAGATCTGGAGACTGACCTCTTGGTTGTGGGTGGGTCCATTGGATAGCCACAACACCCGATTGGTAGGTCCCTCGATGCTGGGTTTCAATCTGGCCAATGGGGTTGAGGTCTAAATGGATGGAGGAACCTATATAAACCCATGCATGTGACCCAGAGCTTCCTCTTTTGGCTTGTGCATCGGAACACCCGCCCACCTCTCCCTAATTTTAGGGCCTTTTGAGATTGACCTTGCTATGCCATCATGTGTCATCTGTCGTTGGGACAGGGGCACGGCAGGAATTTTCCCCACTTGGCTGATTGGCTGTTGCCATTTGGGTTTCGCCTGCCGCGTAGCAATTCATCACAACTTGTAAGGTTGCAGATAGGCACTGGTTCAGGTGATAGGGATGGGAGAACGGTCTCGCCATCCCTATGTGAGGGGAATTCCGTTAAAGGAATCCAGGGACTCAACTTGGTTTGGCCAACCCCCAAAAAGGTCCCGTTCCTGAGTCCAGGGGAGCACCTGGGGAGTGAACAGAGTCTGCTCTCAGGCTTTCCACCAGCTCAGGTGTTCACCCTTGGCTGACCTATGATAGAGCTCTGGGTCAGCGCTACCTGCAATAGTGCAGGGAGCTAGTTGAACCAGAGCCTATGCAACCACTCACTTTTCTGTAATCAATAAAGTTGCGGCCTAAATTCTGCCAAAAACAAGAACTAAAAATTGTGTCAAATGTGTCTTCATTTAGGAGGGAGGTCTCTGGGTCTGAACACACAACTGCTGCCTTTTTGCAGACAGAGACGTGTGAGATCCACCCTTATACATTGCAAGAGGCATCAGTCAGCAATGAACCTGAAACAGTAAGCAATGAAACAGGAACTTTGTGGCATGAATCCATGTCCTGGTCTAGTGAGGTAATGGAGGCTGTGTGTGGTTGGGTTTCAAAGCCCCTTAAGGGTATGGTGAAGAATGAAGGAACACAACACCAGCCCCTGAAACTGGCAGGCGATAGGAAACATTTGAATTGGCCAGGCCTGTTAAATATAGTAGGAATCGAGCCTTTTGCCCTGGCTTGGCTGACAAAGCAGTAGCTTCTGCCAGTTCCTAGGGCCAGCAATTTGCTTTGGGGGATTCCGGATTGCAGAATGCAAGCTGTGGATTCAAGTACAGCCTGGATCTAATAGATGACCAGCTGAAAAACAAGTCAATTTGAACATCCTTTTTTATACTAATACTTGATGATGCACTAGGGTGACCACCCCTGCATTGCCAAAAAGTAGGGAACCCCAGAAAGAGAGAAAGTGAGAGAGAGAGAGAGAGAGAGAGAGAGAGAGAGAGAATAAGAGAGGACACTGATTACTGAAAATTCGCCTACTGTAATTTTTTTGTATAAATGAGAATTCAGAAACAATGACTATAATTTAAATAGCAGTGCAATGAAGACTAACCAGGTAACCTATAAGGCTGCTCAGTCTCTGTCCAAGCTACAGCTACTAATGGGCAACGTGAAGTCTCCTGCTTTGCTTCTTATGGCTTTTTCTCTTGGACCAGACAGCCCTTCAAATTGAGGACTATCTTCTGCAGTTTAGATGGAAACACAATATATCTCCCACTAGCATGCATGACTATGACCAAGCGTCATATGGGCCTGCTCAGTCTGCTAACCAGCTACCAAGTGGTTGAGGGACAATTTCAAGGCACCTGCTCCCCCTTCTTAAGACAAATCTACACCATACCTTTAAAGTACATAGTAAAGGTAAAGGGACCCCTGACAGTTAAGTCCAGTCACGAACAACTCTGGGGTTGCGCGCTCATCTCGCTCTATAGGCTGAGGAAGCTGGTGTTTGTCTGCAGACAGTTTTTCCAGGTCATGTGGCCAGCATGAATACGCCGCTTCTGGCAAACCAGAGTAGCACACAGAAAAGTTGTTTACCTTCCCGCCAGAGTGGTACCTATTTATCTACTTGCACTTCGTGCTTTCGAACTGCTAGGTTGGCAGGAGCTGGGACCAAGCAATGGAAGCTCACCCCTTTGCGGGGATTCAAACCGCCGACCTTCTGATCAGCAAGCCCTAGGCTCAGTGGTTTAGACCACAGTGCCACCATTTCCCCAAATAAAGCTGTCCTGGGGGCAGCACTGTTTACTTTTCACAGAG